GAAGGAAGGAAGGAAGGAAGGAAGGAAGGAAGGAAGGAAGGAAGGAAGGGAGGGAGGGAGGAAGGAGAGAGAGAGAGAAAGAAAGAAAGAGGGAGGGAGTGAAGAAAGAAGGAAGGAGAAAGGAGAAAGAAAGAAAGAAAGAAAGAAAAGAAAGGAAAGAGAAAGAGAAAGAGAGAGAAAATGAGGGAGGGAGGTTGGGAGGAAAGAAGGAAGGAAGGAGAGAAAGAAAGAAAAGAAAGAAAAAAGGAAGGAAGGAGAGAGAGAGAGAGAAAGAGAGAGAGAAAAAGAGGGAGGGAGGAAAAGAAAGGAAAGAAGGAAGGAGAGAGAGAGAGAAAAAGAAAGAGAAAGAAAGAGAGAAAGAGAGAAAGAAAGAAAGAGGGGGAAGAGAAAGAAAGAAAGAAAAAGAGAGAGTGAGAAAGAAAAGAAAGAAAGAAAAAAGGAAGGAAGGAGAGAGAGAGAAAGAAAGAGAGAGAGAAAAAATGAGGGAGGGAGGAAAAGAAAGGAAAGAAGGAAGGAGAGGGAGAGAGAAAAAGAGAAAGAAAGAAAGGAAAGAAAGAAAAGAAAGAAAGAAAGAAAGAAAGAAAGAAAGAAAGAAAGAAAGAAAGAAAGAAAGAAAAGAAAGAAAGACAGACCCCCAACGCAGAGAGTCCTGGGAGGGAAGGCAGGACAAAAGATTTCTCAACCCAGCCTTGTTGATCTGCACAGGCGGCAGCCCTCGGGAGAAAAGGAATCCTGCAGGATCCCCCCAGGGAGGAGGGGAAGGTTACCCGCGTTCAACCTCCTCCTCCGCCAGTGGGAAGGGAGGCCCGGGGCTCAGCCTAAACCCTTCCCTTCCCTTCCCTTCCCCGTGCATGAACGCCAACAAGCTCCCTGAAGTCCTCCTTCCCCCAATGAGGGTGGGGGGTGGGTGGGAGGGCAGCCAGGGCACAACCCGAGGAGAGAAAAGGCGCATTGTGGGGGTCGGACGATTTGTTCCGTGGAGCTTCGTGCACAGGAAGCTCAAGGAGCTGCCATTCAGTGCGCTCTCTGTGTGTGTGTGTGTGTGTGTGTGTGTGTGTCTGTGTGTGTGTGTGTGTGTGTGTGTGTTGCGCAATGCCCGGTGGAAACGGGGCCACCGGCGATTCCCACATAGGGCCACCAGCGTCCGGAGTTTCCCAGGAACGGCCCAACTCATTTTCCCCCTGGGCAGCCAAGCCGAGAAGGCTCCCAATTCTAATTCTGCCCCACCCACCCCCGGCCTGGAACGGACACAGCGAGGTCCTTCACGCCAAGCAAGTACGGACGGCCCTCAACTTACGACTGTTCGTTTAGCGACTGTTCGAAGTTAACGACGGCACTGGAAAAAAGGGACTCGGGGCCGTTTTTCACACTTATGACTGTTCCAGCATCCCCATGGTCACACGATCAAAAGTTGGACGCAACTGGCTCCTATTTATAGCAGTTGCAGTGTCCTGAGATCCTGTGATCCCTTCCTGTTTTTCATTCCCTCCCTCACTCCCTTCCTTCCTTCTCTCCCTTTCTTCCTTTTTACCTTCTTCCTTCCTTCCTTCCTTCCTTCCTTCCTTCCTTCCTTCCTTCCTTCCTAT